TGAACTCACAGAGATCCGCCTGCCTCTGCCTCCAAGTGCTGGGATTAAAGGCATGCACCACCACACCTGGCTTGTTGTTGTTACTACATTTTACAAGTTTGCCAAGATCAGTCTACTATAGGTAATGGTAAAATTTTATACTCAAGATAGCACGTGTGCACACACATACACACACACACACAGTAGCTACTATGTTACCAGGTTGCTGGTCCCCACTGACCTTACAACCTGTCCTATTGACTTGCTTCTTCAACTTGTCTGTGTCTTTTTCTCGTGTGTGTGTGTGTGTGTGTGTGTGTGTGTGTGTGTTGTTATGTGTGGTGTATCAGGAACAGAGGCCAGAGGAATCTATCAGGTCCTGCTGTGTCACTTTGCCTCATTCTCTTGGGACAGAGTCTCTCACTGAACTTAGGGCTCTAGTCAGCAAGCCCCAGACAGCCTCCCATCAATGCTCCTGCCCCCACACACTGGGGTTACAGGCATGTGTGACCACTCTTAGTTTTGTTTTTTTTTTTAGAAATTTTTTTTTTGTCTTTTTGAGACAGGGTCTCCTTGTAGCCCCAGCTGTCCTCGAATTCACAAAGATCCACCTGCCTCTGCCTCCCAAGTGCTGGGATTAAAGGCATGCACCACCACGCCCATCATACTCTTAGCTTTTTGTATGAGTACTGAGGATTTGAAGACAGGTCCTCAAATGTGTACTGAAGTACTCTTACCCACTAAGCCATCTCCCTAGTCCTGGTTTGGTCTTCTCATCCACAAAGTAGAGGTGGTAAGCTATCTCTAGATTGTCTCCAAGGCCCAAATGAAATCCCAAATTTGAACATGATTTATAAACTGTGAAATGTCCTATATTGTTGTGTCTTATCATAATCACAGTTTGTGCTTTAAGCATAATGCTTAAATGACGTTAAATTTTATTTAACTAGCAAATTTAAATTTAAATTTGCTAGCAAAACAGGAACTAGATCAAGTCCAGTTTTTCAAACAACCACTCCCATCAACCTGACGTTTCTATGTCATTTTCAATAGCCACATGGTAATACTGTAGCTTTAGCATCTCACTTTGTATACAGTCTAGGCTGGCCTTGAGCTCCTGGCAATCCTCCTGCCTCAGCCTCCTGAGTGCAGGAGCCTCCACGCCCTGCTTATCTGCCCCATTTCTGATTGCAGATCAATCCTGTGAGTTGTCTGGAATCAGCTTGACATCCCCACACCACCAACGTGCTCTTAAAAAGTCACTGGGATTCAATCAGCTTCTGCTCATTTCTGTTCAACCAGGAGAAAAACTAGTCAGAGACCCTGATGTGACATCTTCCTGCTCAGCAATTCCATGGGGGATCCTTTCCCTCTCACACTTTACACACCTTCTATTAAACTTCACATTATAATAAATTTGAAGTCTGCTCAGATTGGCAGGTTTGGAGCAGATGCTCGCTAATCTCTTGGTGGATGTCCTGACTCACACCAGGCATTCCCAATGAGCAGAGATGTCAACAAGAGCTCCCACCTAGGTCCCTGTCCTCAAATTTGACACCTGGCCTTCTCCCTAATTCAGCAATGCAGTGAGTCAGAGAAATCTCCTGCAACTCACACTCCCTAAGGGGTCTATAAATTTCTTGTTTTCTTTCCTACAGCACTGTGAATGATGCCACCCCTTAGGCAGCTGGTATGGGTCTGCTGCTCACAATACCATCTGTTCCTACAACATGAGCTACACAGACAGGAAGAACTCATAGGGCACGGGGGCCTGGCCTTGTGCACCGAAGGCAGGCTTCTTGCAGACCTGGCCCCTGTCCTGCCTCAGGCATGCCCTACATTCTCAGTATGCCACTTTTAATTAAAACACCACTTCCCAAAGTCAGTGGTGAAGGAGGAACAGGAAGGTGCTTCTGATGATAAAATGTCCAGCTGACAATCTCAGGAAGTGGCCCAGGCCACACCGCCAGCTTAGGGCCTCTGCAATAGCTAGAGTTGTTTTTCCCAAAAGATGAGCCTCACCTTTGATTCTGGGAGGTCTGACAGCCCTCCAGGCTAAGCAGACAACTCTGCCCTGTGCACCTGGAGCTGTGGCAGGGTGGAAATGGCTTTCTGTGACAAACCCAGATTTCACCCCCCCCACACGGCTGGACAGAGTTAAGGGAGGTGCTTGCCATCATTTGGTCAAGGCCTCAGAATAGTCTCTAACTTCACTTTTGAGTTCTTTAGATATTACACGATAAGCAAGCATGACAGAAATTCAAAGTGACAATCAAGACTCCCCTAGGGTCCCTCTTTACCTCTTGTCTCACTGGGATGCTGCTGGGGAGCCATCCTGGCCCTGGGGGATCCATGCTTTTCTGTTGGCTGAAAATGGATTTTGAGAGGAATCCCGCGGTGTGCTGCAGGCTCAGTGAGGAGACCAGAGTTTATACGGGAAACCAAGTTCCTCTTTCCTCCAGGTGGAAAGGGTGACTGGAGGGAATTGCCTGCCTCTGTGTATGACAATGCATTTCCTACCAGGCTCCTCTGGGAAGCACTTTTAGAAAAAAGGTGGAGCCTTCCTGGGGGATGGGAATGGAAGCCCAGGAGTCACCCTCAGTTCCCAGAGTGCTCTCTGACCTCCACTGCTCCCAGCACAGTCAGTGGAAGGAACTGCACACTCATTGTGGGGAGAAGTTTTGCTGCTCAGAGAGGAAGCTCTAAAGTCAGGATGCTGACACAAAGGTCAGGCACAAAGAGCTCACAGAGGGCTGGGCCAACACCCTACAGAGTTTTCCCTTTCCCTGTGTTCCTTCCTGTGATCCCCAAAAGCCAGCTCCAGCAGGCAGCTCCTGCTCTGCCTGCTGAGATCAGTTGCCCCCAGACATCCAGCCCAGAGCTACTACCATCCATGCTGGAGATCAGGACCAGGTTCGCATGTTTGTTCAACAAGCACTTTACCACAGAGCTAGTTCCCCAGCTGCATGTTTTTAGCCTTGGAACTCATGTTACTTAAGTGTAACCAAAACACAGGCAAAGGTTGCGACTGGAGCTGCTGTGCGGAACTTCCTGGATACCAGGGATCCATGGTAGAAACAGATATGGGTGTCAGCTTAGCATCTCTGGGGTAGGACTCTGGTTTCTGACTTTCCTCCTGGGTTTGAAAGACCTGGGGCGGAGGAGCCAAGCAAGTATCTGCCATTGGATCACTCTACCGGAGAGCTGCTGGCTCATTGATGGGCACCACGGCAACTGGCCAAGAGGCTGGGAACTCCTGGAATAGGTGGAAGGTTAGCCTGGAGAGCCAAGGAACTCCAAGGTCACATCCTTGTAACCAGCTGACATCTGTGCCCTGTGTGTGGGCAGCAGACAAATCCACAGAGCCTGACCCTTGCCTACTTCTGTTCAGCACGATAAGCAGATCCACTGTTTCTGATGAGCACTGTTTCCTGTGCATTCACACCAACATAAACAGGCCAACACCTCTAGCTTAGGTTTCACGACAAGAGGGATTTCTGACTTGCAATCAAACCTCTATCCCATAAAAATTATTCCAGTATGAATCTCCCCTTTGTTCCCGCTGTTGACATTTACTAGCGTTGGAGGCCATACATGGGTGACAACATCCAACAAGTAGACAACACAACAGGATCGTGAGACTCGGTAAATGCGAATGGGGGCCGCCTTCTTTCTTAGCTCGATAGAGTCTTGATATCTTTAAAGCACCTTACTAACATAGGGAGAGACAGCCACACAACTAACCTGCCTTTGATCAAACCAGGAACAACCATACACATTCATATAAGGTGGGAAATTACCATAAAGGGCCCCTTGCCTAACAGAAGGGGGCGGGGCAGGCAAAGAACCAATCTATTGATCACAACATCTCGAACACAGTGAAAATTTGTCATTTTGTTTTGTTTGAGGCAGGATCTCATGTAGACGAACCAGGCCTTGAACTCATGACCTTCCTGCCTCTACCTCCCAAGTCCTGGATTCCAAATGTGTGCCAAAATGCTGGGTTAACAAAAATGTTTCGAAATAGGCTGCACACTTAGGAAACGACCTTCCTAGTTACCACTCTCCATGACACTCATTAAAGGCTGAGCATTCCCCGAGCTACTTGCATCCACACTGCCAGTCTCTTGAGGACTCGGATTTCAAGAGGCTTGGTGGTGCAGGCCTATAATCTGAATACCCTGGAGCCAGAGGCAGGAGGATCACCCATGAGTTCAAGGCCAGCCAGGGCTACATATAGAGACCTTGTCTCAACAAACAACAAACAAACCAACAACAAAAAGCAGGCTCCATAGATTCCCCTCTCGTTTTCGTTAGGAAAATAGATAGCATTAGATTGACTTGAGTATATTTGAAAGAGGCTGTAAAGTGGGCAGTGGTAATACAGGTGTAGAATCTCAGCACTAGGAGGCTAAAGCAGGAGGACCCTGGGTTCGAGGACAGTTCTGGCTACATTGTGAGAACCTATCTAAAACAAAACAAAACAACAGGAAGAAGGCTTTAATGTTTAAAATTGTCTTTTCCTACAGAGATTAAAGCTGTGAAATTTTGCTCTTGCCTGAACCCCAACGGCATAAAACAGCTATGATAACACTGACACAGTTTCATCAAGGAGGCCATCCAGAAAAGCTCCTGTTTAGTTTTGCCCATAACAGTAGATCAATCTGAGAAGGAATTACCGCCAGACAGGTATGTGCCACTGTGCTCCCTAACGGGTGCTGAGTGTGCAGCGTGGAGATAAGCCAAGCTTCTTGCAAAAGAAAGAAGTCAGAAAGGAAACTGCTCTCAACAATGCAGCTGGCTCAGGACATTGAGAAGCTGAACTAAATTTCAACAGCCAGGAGAAAACGGAACAGAAAGTGTGACAGAGCCTGCTACGGGAGTGAAGGAGCAAAATCCACGTCACCGGCTGACCATATGGCCTGCTTTCCCAGCAAGACAAGCCTTCTATAACAATTAAATCCCAGGCATTTTTAGCTAATTATACATCCGAAGTAATTTTTAGAAAGTTTTGTACTCACCAAGGGAAAGCAAGGGCTATAGTCTGAAAAAAAGAGAGAGAGAGAAAAAAAATGTCAGTTTCTGGGGGACGGTGTTAGTTGCTCATTTAAGTGTCCCTCTGCCAACACGGTTCACTATATATAGCACTTTGCTTCACTCTTTGGGGTCTGCTGGAAACCTTTTTATCTTGAAGGTGATTTCTTTTTGCCATACTCCTAGGCTTTCAACAGTGTCCTACCCCAAACCGTCCTGTCCTCTGAGGGCCAGTTGAGGGTGGACTGTGGCTGCCCTGTACCTTAAGTGATGTCCAGCCCCCAAGGGCCTCGCTTCAGTCTGCTCCTGGTGAGGCGTATAAGGTTTCTTTCTCCTTAAAGTAGTCCCCTCAGCCCTTCTTCCCTGGAGATGGCCTTTCAAGCCCAGGCTGGGGGCAGCCCTCTCACCCGACAGCCCCAGTGTCATCACTCCCCAGTCTGACAGCTCTTTCCCTTAAAAAAGCAGGTTACACAAACTTGACTCAATAGGCATTAACATATATATCAGAATGCATGAAATCCAGGGGTGGGGGGGTTATAAAAATATGTGGGGGGCACGGATGGGGGTG